GGAAAGAAATGTAACAGGCTCTCCAAGATAAGGACACTGGCTGTAAGGTCATGGAAGGGTGCTGGGCTTTTAAGAAAGCAAGTGGGGGTTTGTCTTCACATTCCAGGGGCATTCTGTCCACTTGAAACAGCTCTGGAGTCCGGAAACTTGCATGAAATGGGGGAAAGGAAAAGAAAATCTTATGCAGATACGGAAGCTGAAGCTTTGAGAAGTGCATCAGATATAATACAACTTAGTAAAATCCTGAGAGGAGGGAAAACAGATTCAAGTGATGCAACAATTTATTCAACAAGTAGTAGGCTTTGAAAACAGATTTTGAATGACAGTACTATATCATTTTCTTTTCTCAGAGCAATGGTTAAAGTCTGTGTGGTAAAAGAAAGGACTTACTTTGATTATAAGGCCTCCATAACAAAATTTAAGCCTTAGTAAAAGATAGCCCGTGTAGCACAATATTTGACTGCTTGAACCAATTAGCACCTGCTTTGCCCAAAAGATTTCACAGAAACATTTTACCAGTTCTTAGTCAGCTACTAAAACGAACACCCGTATTTTCTGTGTCTGTGGCAGAATCTTTAAAGAGATTTTTATTTTGTCATTTTTATCATTTTTTTTTTGACAGAGATGTCAGTGAGAAGAACTCAGTCAAAGGGTACGTGGCATTACAGTGTGCTATATTAACGTTGGATTCTTTCAGTGAATTTGAGACACTAATTATTTTCTCCATCTCTCTTTGTGAAGGTTCAGGAAATTTAATATTTTGGGTACAAACACAAAAGTAATGAACATGGAAGAATCTACTAATGGAAGTCTAGCAGCAGAATTCAGGCACTTGGTTTGTGATTCTGTTTCTTGTATTGACACGTCCATCTAATTGTGCAGGTAGAGGGTGTGGTGGGAAGGAGAGAAACCGCTTTGTTATTGAGGTCATTGTTTACTTTTGTATAAGAGGAACTGTGAACATCTTTTAGCTTGTTCTTCCCTTTTTGAAATCTTCGTCCTGTTTCAGTTGAAATGCTATTGCTTTTGTCACCAAAATAAGATCAGAAAGGCAAACAAGAGTATCTGTTACTATACAGCTTATGTTGCAATGAGTTCTTTGGAGGAGAAAGAAGAAGCCTAGAAATGCTATTTTGGGTCTTTTAGAGGAAGGTCCATAGGTAGGAGAGCTTGAAGTAATTTAAAGAACTTTTAAACTAGAAGAGGAAAATTGTCTAGGAAGGGGCAGCTACAAGAAATTCAGTGCCTTCAGCAGACTATCCAACACTTGATCTGCAGATTGTGAGATAAAACAGTTTGGTTCCTTCATTACAAGAGGGAAGGAAAAACACAAGTCCTGAACCAGTGAACACTGAAGTCTCCCTTTAATGTCCAGAACAGACACTGTCCTGAGTTTATTGTCCAATTCGGAAGAGAACTTTTGATAAACCAGTATTTCATCTGATCCTTTCCAATTTCATGCTGCTACTGTTCTTAAGGCCTCTTACATAAAGGCAGTGCATCACAATCTATTTTCACAGATGAATGGTTTATAAAAGAGTAGTAGTTACCTATAGTTTAATCCTTTGGCTTCCACAGCTTAGAACCAAATAGGATCAAACACTAGTGCAGCAAGTTTGCATACAGTTGAGCAACTAAAGCATGCAAACATTTGCACCCCTTACCACTTTCATTTGTGGCTGAGGTAAATGTGTAACAGGGTTTTTTTGTTCGTTTACAGCAACTGAAAGAACAGAAAAATGCAGGAAGCAGAACAAATGAGGTAAGCAGCACTAACCTTATTCATAAAGCTTTTTCATAATACTAAAAAGGCATTCAGGCATTTAAGACAATGCTCTGCTCAGTGCCATGAAGGAACACACACAGTGACAGATCAATAGGAGAGGCATTCAGTGTTTCTGAGAAACAGTCTATGTAGGAGGTGTCTATAAACTTCCAGAACAGCGTCCCTGTGGACTTTCCCTCACTGGCACCTAGCTTTAACAGGACTTTCTGGCAAGGCCAGATTTTCTATAGCTTTAGGGTAGGAGCAAGTAACCTTGGGCAGAAAAGGTTTTTCCTCATGATAAATCCCTTACCTTCCCCCCAAGCTATTTGTGGTCCCTGAAAGGTTTAGGTTTTTAAATTACTTTTCTTTTTTTTCTTTCATTTAAAGGGTCCTCTTATTGTAACAGAAGAACTTCACTCTCTGAGTTTTGAGACACAGCTGTGCCAGCCTGGCTTGACAATAGAGCTAGAGGTATGTCTTGGATCAAACAGAGATGGACTTTTGTTTCTGTATGTCAATCATGGTGACAATCTATTTTTTTAAAGTACTGGGATATCAAACACTTTCAGTTATTTCAAAATACATGAGTGATACTTAACATCTCTGTATATACACATACAGTGAAAATGCTGTCAAATCTCTGGATAAGTAAGAGTAGATGTGCTTTGCAAAGTATCTGATAACCAATCCTGTGTTTTAAGCCTCTAGGTATCAGTTTCTGTTTATATCAGAAGCAATATGCTGAGAACTCTATTATTATCAGTGCTATCATAACTGACATTAAATGGAAGTCTTTATCAGACTCTTTCTAGTACTTCATCATACTGACACCTTCTGCCTACATACAAACTTCAAGTGAAAGAGTTAAGACCATGCAAGCAGAGAATGGAGATCTCTGTGGGTAACCTAAAGGAGGACTGCAGCAGTGGTATAGGGTAGTCTGACATGTTTCCTTTTGTGTCTCTTCCAGACTACATCCCTTCCAATTGTTGTGATCTCAAATGTGAGCCAGCTTCCAAGTGGATGGGCTTCTATCTTATGGTACAATATGCTGTCTACTGATCCCAAGGTATTTGGAAAAAATACAACAAACCAATGACAAAAATCTACCAGCCCACACACACACACACACTTTTACCTCTTTATGTGCAAGAAGAGGGGCCTCTGCAGTTTCCAGAATTGTATCAGAAATACTATGTGTAATTTTCAAGCATTTTCTGTATACACGTGGCTGCTGCATTTTTTCCATGCAGATGACTCAAATGGAGAGAGAGGCAGAGTGACCTACTTACCCATTCTAAACAGAGCAATGCTTGAAACCCACATAAGAATAATATACATGGTATTTTGTATATACAGTACACAGCAAGAAGCCGAATAAACATTCAAGAATCCAAATACAGTGCACTTGAGTAATCTAGTAATTCTACCAACTGGGAGATGATACATCCAAAGCAAAGTCCCAGAGATTGCTTTTCCTGATAAAGACTGTCAGAATAGCAGCCCACTGTTCTAGAGTTGTCTCAAGCTCTCATCTATTCTTAAATCTGCATTTTGTTTTGACAGTACACTTTTGTAAATTCAAGTGGCATTCCAAAATTAATATTTACTAACTGTAGATTTTTTTTTTCCCCTTCCTTTCTAGAACTTGTCCTTCTTTCTGAATCCACCTTATGCGAAGTGGTCTAAACTTTCTGAAGTTCTGAGTTGGCAGTTTTCTTCTGTGACAAAGAGAGGACTTAATGCAGATCAACTGAGCATGCTGGGAGAGAAGCTACTTGGTATGGTCTGCTTCCATCACTTTAAACTTTTTGGTTCTACTGAGCAAGCAGATGGCCTGTTTGAATTGAAGCTAGTTCTGCATCTTCTCTGCAATTTTAAGTTTCCATTTCCTCTCCTACCTTTTCCCCAGTTGTACAATATCACTTGATAGCAAAGGAGTGTTTTCCAGTTTTCAGTATGGTAGAGTTGCAAATGAAGGTCAGGTCATGAAAAAAATGTGCAGTTCTAACTTAGGAGTTCTGTGCATTAGGGCAGTGCAGATCTGGGCTACTTTGGGAGAGCTATGGAAGTAATGTGCATGTTTAGTCAATCTTTGAGGTAACCGTTTCCAGGTAATTTTTTCGGTTTGGTTTGAAATCCATCTCCATTAATTTTGGCTTTATGCATGCCTCCAAGTACAAAGCAGGGTTTACTCCATCTGCATAAACAGTTGCAGAACCAAAGTGCAAACACTATAAAACTAGTAAAGGATATCAAATTGAATGTATCCCATATGAAAGTCCATAGTAAAAGCCTAATCAGCCATGAATTTTGTTTTCCAAACTCCTTGTCATCTCACCTGATAGGCAGGGTGCTTGCCATAGCTACCGAGTTTACATAATAGACTAGAGATAAAAATACCATTGGCTCAGTATATTCCACTAACCTTAAGTTTCAGGAAGCATTTAAAACAATTTGACATTAATGAGTCTGGGTGGTAAGTACAGCATTCTGGTCTCTAATTCCCTTCCTCTAGTTTCCTCAAGACATAAAATCTGACAAAAAGCTTACTGATTTAATAGCTTATTTTTCAGAATTCTGTAAGGATAGTAATTTTTATTAGTCTAATTAACCATCAGGAAGACAAAGTGACCACTGACCTACTTGTGTGGTCAACTTGCATTTCAGAACTTCAGAGATGTCTTTGTCAAACTCTGAGTAACAGTAGGGATGCTATTTAAACAACATCCTTGTCTTATCTCTACAGCTGGTAGTATTTCATTACTACAAAAAAATAAATAAATCCAGGTCACAGAACACTATATACTCAGTATCCCTCAGTGCAAGGGGATGCAAAATCTGACTGGGTACGGGGATACAACTTGCCCGCTGCTTTTGATGTGAAAGTTGGCAGAATCTTGGTCTCAAGTATCAGAAACCAGCTCCCTAACCCAATTTATTTTTAGAGATGGGAGGGAAAAGCAGAAGATTCCCAACTTTATTGAAATCCATAGCGTCATCTGTAACAAAGAGAATTTGACTCCAAATACAGTCAGGGTCTGCAAAGCTCTAGCTTCTGTAGTCACAGTATAGAATTTTCTTTGCCATTTTGGTGTTGTTATGAACACTGTTGGCATAAAAACAAGGCAGAGGGGAAATGACTGTAACAGAAATGAGATGAGTCTTCAATTGGGGCGACCTAGGAGTCAAGAGTTTCTGGGGCAAAAGCCTACAAGTCACCAGAATTGAAACAGGAAAGTGCTGAATTTCAGAAAGGTGTTGTAGGGGCTGCTGAGCTCCTACAGAAAAGTTTGAGTTGCAGTTTTCTTGTTTTGCTGGAGCTGAGATGTGCAAGATTTCAATCCCCTTCCTGAAAACATGTTTTGAAACTGGCAAGCGTTAGGTGTAACACAGCATAGAAAGTTGTCAGAATGAGTTCATTCCCAATACACAAGGTCTGTTTAAATACATGTAGTTACTCTCATGCAGTGAACTTCTCCAGGGGGAAACTCCACAAGCCCTCCCTGCAGTGGCTATGAAAATACTGTAACATTGCGTTTGTTTTCTTTCATAGTCCAACAGCTCGGAGTTGTAAAAAACACACTCAGGACTTGGTGCTGCAAGTACTTTTCTTTCAGCCATTCTGAGCAGCTTGGAACATGATTGAAGTCAGTTTATTCTTTTCAGGGCCAACAAGTGGAGGATCTCATGATGGCCTTATTCCTTGGACGAGATTCTGCAAGGTACAGATGAAACAGGGAGCTTTGTCTTGGGGTGGGTTTTTTTGGAGGGCGAGAATCGGCAGTTTTGGTTTGTGTTTGTTTGTGGGTTGGGTTGGGTTGGGTTTGTTGGGTTCGTTTTCTTTTGTGTGGGGTTTTTTTGTTTTGTGTCGGTTTTGGTTTGTTTTTTTCTTTTTTACTCCTCTAGTATGCTGTGTTTTTCAACAGCATATCCTAATTATTTAGAGCTTAAATAATCATGGGAGGTTTTGGTGTTGAGGTTAAAGTAGCAGCAGCAGGAGAAAAAAGGGCTTGTAATAACAAGGCGTAGATGATTTAGAGATTCACTTTTGAGCCATGTAAAAAGATGCATTTTTCTATCTAGTTAAACACAGCATCTTCATTATTATTAATGTAATTACTATTAATAGAATAGTTCTCCATTTTAACAATTACAAAAAGTGTCAAAAAACCCAGCAAGATGAGCAGTTCTTCTCTGTTGTATTGAAGGACATTTCCCAGGCCAGGGGCAACTGGATTAGTGTGAGGAATAGCAGAGGGCAGCCAAGGAAGTCAGCATGATGGCAGAAGGCCACAGCATGAGATTTCTTAACCCTGGCTACAGCAAGACAGGAAGGCTCTTCACACTTTCTTTGGCTTTAGACTGTAAACTGGTATAGATAAGCAGGAGATGACAGGAGACAGGAACAGATTCCAGGGCAAGAGCAAAGCTCTGGTGACCTACAAGCACTGACGTTCATTAATATGGGTCTCATGAGGAATTGAAATCAGAGTCTGAACAGAAAGTGTCTCTAAGCTGTTCTGCTGGCCAGCCTGGTTGAAGGCCCCATGGGATGGTTTGGATGTCCACGAGTTCCAGTAGTGCCACAGTGCCCAGGCAGGAACCAGAGCCTTCTGTTTTTAGAGCAGTGTCATTGCATGAGAGGTGACAGATCACACATTTGTGGGTACTGTACGCTCACCAGGCATTTCTTTCGTACTGCCTCTTACCTTAAGATTCAGTACATGCTTCATCCCTAATAGTTTCTGTCCTTCTAGAGTAGAGAAACAAAGAGCAAAAAACGTAAGAGAATACAGGGATGGTGGAAAACCAAAAAAAGGATCGGGAAATGCAAGAACAAGTAGATGCTGACAGGATTGAGAGCTTTCTTCTTCTCCACTTAATAAAACTTGTTTCATTATCTCTGTTCTTCCCCCCTCCCACCTGTTCTTCTCCATATTCTGAATTTCAGGAAAATATAAATGATAAAAATTTCCCCTTTTGGCTGTGGATTGAGGGAATCCTGGAACTTATTAAGAAACACCTCCTGTGTCTCTGGAACGATGGGTAAGAGCTATCTGAAATGAGCAAAGATGTGGTCATTGCCTCAGACCTTTCACTTAAGCTAGCAGCTACATCCTCAGGTTGTGAGGTTGTACAGATACTTTGGATCCAATAAAGTGGAATTTGCAGCCAGAAAATCTGAGGCAAATGAATTCTAGTAGCGAGGAAGTCTCTACTGAAGCAACTCCTTTTAAGCAAAAATGTCAGATGACCAAACTGTCCCATTTAAGTCACAGAGCAGAGCTTTCAATGTTAGATTTGGGGGTTTGTTTGGTTGTTTTTTCCCTCGTTTCCTGCTGTAAGTAGGTTCTTTTCACACCCTAGAAAAGTGCCTCTTAAGTTTGACAGGGAAGACTAAATTACATCAAAGCATAAGTCAAAGTGATAATCCATTTTAAAAATACAAACAAAAAACCTGCCCACAAGCAAACACTATTTGTGAGCCTCCCCTAGGTGGCAGCAGCCAGACTCTGGACTTCTGTATCTGCAGTACCCATCCACAAAGTAACTTTTACTCATTTTAATAGATTATTAAGTAGTAAGACTCTGCTGGATGGAAAACCAGTTCCATTTGCCCTTTAATACTGGTTTAGTAAACTTTTGATTCTGGTATTGCCAATTTCAGGAGTAATTGCTGCCAGAAAGAGAGATTCAGCCAAGGTCACAATCCTGCCTTTCATGTTTAGCTGCATTATGAAATCCTGTCAATAGCCCACACACAGCGGGGCATCCTAGCGTCCCACAAGTCTGCAGAATCGTTCTGCCTTACTAAATTCAGCAGCAGGCTTCAAATTATTACCCCCTAGCTCCAGATGAGTTCTTTCAGAGCCCTTTAAAGTACAAGCCTTGTTTCACTGCCTGAAGCCTACAGATTTCTTATCTAAGTGGAGTCTGGTGCAGTGGGAACTTTTGCCACCATTACTGAAGCAGAGTTGCAGTTCTCTCCCATGTGGTGTTTCGCCTCAGCATGGCTGCGTGCACACAGGATTGTTTTTCCATGTGGCTTTGATAGTGCACAGTCTTGACTAGCATTACTCATTGTGCTCAGTTAAAAGCAATCCTGTTTAGGATTTAACAGAAAGAAGAAGTGCAAGTTAAATCCTGAACGTAATCAAAACCAGAGCTTTAGTACTATTAGTTTTTCCTCTCTTAGTTGGCTTTGTTGGAAAGTCACAGATCTTTATTTTCTAGAAAGGCAAAAAGGAAAACTGAAGGGAAAACTCTTGCAAACTGCAAGGCTACTCGAGTGGGAGAGAGACAAATCTATAATATTCATTAGGATAAAGATTCTCCTCCTATACAAAAGAGTAGGTATTACAGCCTCAAGGACACGTGTCTTTAATACTTGAGGGATGGAAAGGCTGAAAACTATCATTATACACAGTTCATTTGCTACCAAACAGATTTGTTACCTAAAGCTTGCCATTTAAAAAAACCCAAACAAATCAAAAGCACACACGCAAAAAAACCCCAAACCCTATAAATAAGGCAGCTTGCAGTATCCAAAATTTCTAAGCAAAATCATTATTATTTAGTAGCTTCTGTGCAAAAAGTGCTTTCATTAATGTAATGCACAGAAGGGCAGTAGCAGTAACACTTTGAGTAGTACTCTCAACAGTATGGATGGAGTATTTTGAGGAATAAGCAGCAGTGCAAAGAAATTCTCACCTCTTACAAAAGCAGTTGGGGTTTGACCAGGGTTATGCCCTAGTTCTGGCTTGTACAACTCCCTCCATAGTACCTCTTCACACCAATCCATTTCTTAAAATTGCCACACTGGCCTCCTTTCCTACACAGCAACATTTGCTGAGCAAAGCTTATTTGGGGGGATGAAGTCACACAAGCTTAATAACTCATCTAGAAAGCACACACAAGACATAAAGCAAATCCCACATCTATACAGTGCAATCTGTTAGCTGGCAAACTTTGTTTCATTAGCCAAAGAGAAGAAATGACCTTTCCTTAATATACTTCTGAAGTTAAATCTGCTAGCTGGACTCTGACTGTAGGTAACTTTACTTCTGCTTCCCCAGCTTAGTTTTGACAGCAAAAGACAATTTCTTTTATTCCAAGCTCAGAAAGATGATTGTGTAGGCCACCAGGCAAAAGGAAGAGTGCTGAGGGCAGCTCCAGCCTGTCCCTGTGTTCACTGAACAAAGCCTTCTGCGAGGCTTTTACAAGTACTTCAGCTTTTCGCTTTTCCTAGCTAGCCCAGCACAGCTTAGCTTTTATGCTGGGAAGTAAACTCAGCTTCTTCTTTTTAACGTTACAGCTGCATCATGGGTTTTATCAGTAAAGAGAAAGAACGTGCTTTATTGAAGGACCAGAGCCCAGGAACATTTTTACTAAGATTCAGTGAAAGCAGCAGAGAGGGAGCAATCACATTTACTTGGGTAGAAGGATCTCAAAACGGTAAGTCAGTAACAAAGACCACCTTTGTCTTCAAAGTGTAAGCTTACATCAAAACAAGAAGTCTTTGTACTCTCTCATTTCACACTGAGAACCAATACAATACACTACCCTAGCAGTCCCCACCCTTACAAGCAACAAGCTACAAGCCGTAGCAGACACGTGCCCTACTTAGTGTAGTTCAGATGCCACACAGCGGATTGTTGAGGGTTTCAGCCAGGACAGTAACACTTCCCAGGTCCTGCTTCTGGCCTGGAAGGTTGTTGAGGACAAACTGCCTAAGCTGTCTCCCCTGCCTCCGTAAGGTGTCTCTGGCAAGACACCTTTAGTACGTACACACCTGCATCTCCCTCCAGACCCTTACCTCCTTCAGAGATTTCTGTCCCAGAAACAGTTCCCTACAGCCATATTCAGCCCTCTGTATTATTGTTCTCTCTCACTGCTTTACTCCTTTCTCAAACAGCTTTCTTTAACTCATGGTCCAACACATGCGTGCATGCGTGCGTTCCTTCCTTCCTTCCCACATTCTCCCAAAGTAAACCACATAGTCACTTACTGCATTTTTCCAAGCAGTTCTTCCTCCTGTAGCCAGGAGAATGACTGATGAAGAGTTCTTCACTTAGCCAGACTACTCACCCTCTTTTAGGGAAGCCTGGAGACTTAACAGCTTCAAAAAGACATTATCTCCCCTATATCTAATCAGGGTTCTTCCCTTATCATACTACTTAAATCAACCCCACCTGCCAGGATGCTGCAGCTGTTGACACTTCACTTGCATAAGCCCAAGACCTGCAACAGCTGGAAGAGAAACTGCTGAACGTACTTGAATGACTTCTTTCCCTTTGCTGCCTTCATACCTGAGACATCCAGAAATTAAGCAAAGAAGGATGAGAGTATTTGGAGCATTGAGGGAGGCTTTATGATTCATAAGATTTCCAAGTGGTGTATTAGGATCAAACTTCCTAATAGGCAATAGAGTTTGAACGACATCATTTGGAAGAAGGTTGAAAAGGAAGCACAACTTAAATTAGTTAATGAAATACTGCAGTTAATTTCCATAGACAGGTCACCCCAGTCATCCCAGATACAAAATACACCAAGAGCCATCACTATATGCTATCCCTCTGTCCTCCATATGCCTTCCTACCCCACAAAACAATTGTGCTCCATTTGACAGTCATTAAATATTTACCGGCAGCACAGTGGGTGTCATCCAGGTAAGCCTTTTGCTTACATGACCTCTGAATTTTTGAAAGTGGCTGCAGCTTTTCTGGACAGTTTCAGAAAAAACTTTGGAACCACCTTAAAGAGTTTCTGCTTTTCTCATCTGCAGAGCCCCAGTTCCATTCGGTAGAACCGTACACCAAGAAGGAGCTCTCTGCTGTTACTTTCCCTGATATCATTCGCAACTACAAAGTGATGGCGGCTGAAAACATTCCTGAAAATCCACTGAGATTTCTGTACCCAGATATACCCAAAGACATCGCCTTTGGCAAATACTACTCCAGGCCTAAGGAAGGTGAGTCCTATAAGTGGCTCATACAGTGTAAGTGTGATGTTTATTCTTGAGATACTTGGGCACTGTATAATTTCTGTGGCATAGAAAAGAAGGGTAGCTGCTGCTCAGCTGAAAGATGAGAAAGGGCACCTAAGCTTTAGTAGGTTAAGAAAAGGTCTGGTTTTTGAAGAGGCACAACATGAGACTTAGTCATATCAAAAACTGAAAATATTGTCGCTGCCCTTCTAATTCAGCTTTCATGTGAGCCTGTGAGATATTTCAGAGATGTACGTTCCCACTAACAGCTGGAACCATGACCCATATTTGACTATTGCTCAGGACTGATCTTGGCCGTGTGGGCCTGGCAGGATGTGTTGATACAGCTACATCAAACTTTAGGAGAGGTTTTGTTCCCAATTTTCTATAGGGAAAAAGCATAAAGGAAAACCTGACTGAAAAACTTAATAAATTAACCATAGTGCTGTAAAATGCATGAGAGACTTGCACACTATCTGGGTCACAGGCTTTATTTTTGGTACAATAAAGATGGCAATGTGAAGTCAACATGCTAAGAGACAAAAAACAAACAAGCTTTTTTTTTTCCCTCCTTGAAGCACCAGAGCCTATGGATTTGGATGGTCCCAAGGGAAATGGCTACATCAAGACTGAGTTAATCTCCGTATCTGAAGTGTAAGTTTCCACAGAAAGGCTACATTTGTAGGAACTGATCATAACTTTTTAGCTGTAGTTCATGTCTCTTCACAGTATTTCAGGTGTAGATGCCCTGATCAGATCTCTCTCTGAGGATCTGATCACACCACATTCATGCAGTGCTATGTTCAGAGCACCATTTTTAGGTAAAAGCCTAGAAACTTGCAGGGACTTGTACTGGCAAATAATTCATTGAAAAGCAGGTTCTTAAAGACTTGTTGGACTTGTTTGATTAGAATATAGATCACTGAGTAGTCCCAGTTTTCATTTAAGACTATGCTGGTCTTGCAAAGCATGGTATATTTCTCACAGGCTAGGTCTCTTTCACAAGAGACCTCATTAGTGGCCCTTCTGGACTCAGAGCTAGACATGGTAGCCCAGCTGTGCCTCACTTCTTTACTGAAAGTTTGTTCTTGGTTTTCTCCTTCCCTTAGCCACCCTTCCAGGCTCCAGTCTCCAGAAAATCTGCTCCCCATGTCTCCAGAAGAGTTCGATGAGGTCTCTCGGATAGTGGGCCCAGCAGAGATTGATACTGTGGTATGTGTCATAAAGCAGCCTTTTGTGGGACGGTTGAGCCAGAACTTGCTTGTTTCGGTTTTTTCCCCCCCTTCAAACATACATCAGACACTTAAGCAAACACTTCAGAGCGCATCTCTTCAAACGTGTAAGAAAGGCTGGGAATCCAGAGTTAGACTGGGATTGCTGTTGGCTGTTCTTTCCACTTGTTTGTGGGGATAGAGGTGAAGAAAAGGAGAGCAAAGCTTCCAGTGTGTATCATGCAGAGGGAGGGAGGACAGGAAGGGAGGAAGGAATAAAGCTGTAGTCCTTCCTGCGGGGTCTCAGAGGGGAAGGAAGCTAGAGCAGGCATGCAGCCTGGAAGTGCTGCCCTGCCAAAGCTGGTGAGGTACTGCCTGTTAACAGAGCAGTGTTGTCCTTTCAAGGTGTACTTCAGAAAAAAAAATCCAAGTTGAAGTGTGTTGGTTTTCTTTCCCCCAGTGGTAGTTTGAACCCAGGATGTGAATCTGGTGCTATATGGGGAAGACCTGGTGTGCTCTGTGGTTAGCAAAGACTTGAGTATTAGGGCTTTATTTGGCTTGTTCAACTGACATGTACTTTTCTTATTGCAGATGTGTTCAGCATATTCAACTTAAAGGTTGAGCTTTTTACTGCATCATTAACACAGCTGATTAGCTTATGCATCCTGCTCTGCAGTCAATGGCTTGGTGACACATTTCAGTTCTTTGGTTTCTCAACCTGAAGGTCCAGTAGCAATTTTTAACTAACGGGAATATAAACAGCAGCCTGAGAAGCCTCCTTACGTGCACTTTTTTTGTTCAGAAGTTCTTTGTTAAAGAATTGCCAGTTAGCAAGTTACTATGCCAAAGTGAAGAGGAGGTCCTCAGCAAGAATGATGGGAGAAGCATGCACGTTTTGTTTAAGGGAATTAGTTAAATTTAACATTTAAAACAGTTGGCTGTGCATAGGAGGCTGCAAAGGAAAGCTAGGTCTTCTGCCACAGTTCTGTTCAGAAAGCTTGGACCTGCTGCGTAACGGCTTCTGAAGAACTTTCACAGCTTTGCATTCTCACCTGCATCACAAAACAGAGAAGAGAAACAGTGCAGGTATACACCACACTGAATCCCTGTGTTGCTGAAGTTTGTCTGGCTTTATCTTTTCTAAGGCATGCCATACTAAGAGAACATAAGCCAAGAATTGTTATCTGCATTTCATTTTTGCTTGGTTTTTTATGGCAAGGTCTTCTTGTGTAGGCTGTATAGCACAATCTCACTCTCTTCTTGACACCACCTTAAAGCTGCACTGGCACATGCTGAGCTTGCAACTCAATGTGTACAATCAAGACTAAAGCCGCTACAGCCTGCAGTCGTGCTGTCTAGCACCAATGCTGGACAAAACGAGAGCCTACCCTTAAAGAGTGCAGATGGGGTTCTTACTCACTGCGCTTGGTCTACCAAGGCAAAGATCTGGTCACACATCTTTGACAATACTACATGTGCCATTTAGGTTACAACAGGTGGAACGGAACTTAATTTGCTCATGCACTGTGAACGAGGGCATTTATTTAACTGTTTATTTGAATAGCTAGAAAACCCTACAGGCTTTGGTAATGAAGCCTTTTTGCAATTAGGGATAAGGCACAGGAAAGTGAAGAAGTTAAGTTTATTCTGAGTGATGTCTGCAAGACAGGCAATATTTAGTATGTAAAGGATGAAATTGTGCTTCCTCCAGAGGAGGAACAGGTTTGTTTCTCAGCATGTTTGAGGCTAATTAACAACTCCCAGTTCAGAGGCAAGGCTGTCTTAAGCAGGTGGGCTCTTGGACTAAGGGCCTGTATTAGTCCAGGCTGCTAATGAGCACCCAGCTGAGCAGAGGGACAGCAGAGCATTCCTTCTGGATCCCACATGTGCACGTACAGGACTTGTGCATCCAGCTCTTGGTGGCCCTGCTTGGTCAAGGTGACCTCCAGAGGTCCCTCCAGCCTCAGCCTGTCTGTGGCTCTGTGACACAGTTGTAATGCAGCTTCTCTACTCACTGTGAGCTGTTCCCAGTGCCTGGGAAGGCAGCAGTGGCCTGTGTGACGCACAGGGATTGCTGATGCTTCTCCGCCACTCAGAAGTGCTAGATCCATCAGCTGCTGCTTAGAAAATAAACGTCTGGTTCTATTTAGTGTGCTGTGCCAGAAAGACTGATGTGGTCCTTGTAAAAAAGCTAGAGAGAAAGAAAATTTAAAGGACCTAGAGCAACCTGAGTTACTGAGGTTAACAGTGCTACAGAATATCACAGCTGGTGACTTAATGCTTTTATTATAAATAGCTGAATGTTTATCTTCATTGTAATAAAAATAAATATTCGTTTCTTGAGCTACACCTTGTACTCATGGTCTATATGCAGGAGTTTGGTTTCATTATATTTCAGTTTCATCAAGAAGGATGTTGTCTTGTGAGATTGATGGCTTTGGTGTTACAGAGCTGAGAATTCTAACAGCCATCTTTATTCCCCCACTGGAAGTCTTTTGCTATTTTAAATAAACAGAACTGTCAGTTGACACTTTTGTCCCTTCTTGTGTTCTGACTACTTCTGTTACCAAGATGATGTGGCTGCCAATAGCTTACTGTCTGTGCAACTAAACAGTTACAGCTCTGAAGCCTAAGGCTTTAATTCACTGCATTGTTACAGAGCTCAGAGGATTTTTTTATTATTGCTTGTCTCACGTCACTGATTTTTTTTCCCCCACACTTCAATAAACTCAAATTTCCAATTTGATTTGATCAGTAGGATAACTGAGCTGTAGCTAAACTTTGCAAACTATCAAGCTGGCTCACTGGTGCATCATTTTTCTCTGGGGCTATTAAGTGACATGATCCCTTGTCTCACACTTGTCAGGCTTTTACATTAACTACAGTGAGAGGAGTAATAAAGAAAAGAAACTGTGGGTGAGATGAAGGGTAGCAGGAGCAAAGAGTAGGCAAAAGCAAGGAGGAGCTGTCAAGGGCACTTAGCCAACCCACTTAAGAATCCCAGCATTAACAAAAGGGACCAGTGAGAGGACACAGCCCTACAAGTGCAGGTTAAAAAAAAAATAATAAAAAGGGCAGCTAAATCAGATAAACTCCTTCTCATTTCCCATAAGCTCTGCACAATGGAAATGGCCAGAGTAGGTTTTCTGGACAGCCTTCCCCACGACTGAAGGCTTATTTCAATGGCAGTCACACAGATGACCAATAAAACCCACCACCACCACCACCACCACCTTGGTATTTCCATTTATTATGCTGTAAAACGCAACACTATCTGGATTTTATTTCTTAAAATAAATAACTTTCATTTTCAGAACCAGTACAGCTCAAGTTTAGATTCATTCATGGGAAACTGCTAGAAATACATTCATCACTGTCTATTCCCCACAGTACAGAATCTAAGAGTCAAGATCAGCCCAGTCAGTTACAATGACCAGAAGTACACTGCCAAGGAGTACAGCCACCAGTAGCCCAGCTCTGAAGCAAAGAAATCTGGTACAATACATTTTGTTCACAAAGAGGGGCTAATTAATGCTAAGACTATCACAATATTTCTGAGTACAAAGCATTAAGTTAGCTTAACGAGTTTAGGTTGTGATACAGAAGAAACATATATAACAGAAAAACAACGGAGTGGAGGAATCCTCTTTGGAGCATAAAGAAGTCAGCACTTGGTAAGATAACCAAAAGCTATTTACGGTAAAATCTACATGTTGGTGTCATGAATGATAAACAGCCAAACCAACGTGCTGCGTATGTTTATATTTATAAATAACGCCATGTCTAAAGAGCTGCATCGCTGAATTGGACATTACAAAATAATGCATCTTCTCACAATGAGAAAAGACTAAAACTAACCAGCAAAAATGCACCGAAGCGAAGACTGGCTAAAAGCACTCAGTACGATCCAGGACAGCGTTACGTTCAGGGACAGCCATGCCCTTTAAGGTTAACTCCGTTTAAATGCTGCCTGTTGGTTTTTTGTGTACATGTGTATTAGGTAATACACCTATCTCTTGAAAATGCCGTTATGAACAATGCAAATTTCAATTAAGTAAAGCTCGATCAGGTATTTTTCTGAGAAGCCAAAGGATATGTTTTAACGGGGGAAAAAAATATGGAAGAAGTCAGATGAGCACTGAGATACAGAATACTAAACCAGAGTCCATCCGGAAACACTCCTCTACCCTGAAGCTGACAGATCTGGTGCCAGAGAAAACATGTTGGAATTTAGTGCAGGGTGCAGCAGGGAAGAGGCCTTGTGCTGCTCAGTGACCGATGTGGGTCAGGAAAGAGCCAGAGGCCGCTTTGTTGAGTTCCTGGTTGGAACGATGGTGGCTGTGACACAGGATGTGAAAAGAACGGGTTAAAAGCCTTCAGAAAAACAGCTGATCTTCAGCAAAAAATTAAGAACAGTAAGATTATTGAGAAAAAGTGTTTGATAACCATGCCAGCCAGCTTCAAAATGTGATTTCAGGGCTTTAGGACTTTCAGACTCTTCCAAGATTTCATCCTCGTGAAGACAGACCCTGCTTGTGATGAGTATCAAGCACTTTTCCATGTGGTTTGTCCTCCCAGCAGGGAGGCAGTATGGCATATCCGCGAGAGGCTGCACAGGAACTCGAGAGGATTTATTCCCAACCATACCGACCTGCTGGGTCACTCCAGAGGAGTTACTTCTCTCTATGCCTTAGTGGACTCATTTGCAAAAGGAGGGTAATGTGGTTCAGGTAATGTTTATAAAGTGCTTGGGCCATTCTAGAAAGAATTTGGGCACTACTGCAGGAGAATTTTGGTGCCTAAACAGAAAACTCCAACTTCCACTAATGACCTGTACACTACTACAATAAAAATAGCCATATATGCAATTCTCAAGCACAATCTCCCACGTGCTAAACAGTCCTTGCCTAAAATTCTTGTGCTAAAATTCTTCCCTGTGTCCAACAACTCTTAGTGTTTGGTGCATATCAAACTCTTAATTTTAAGTGACTACTTCTACGGTTTTATGCCACAGTATTGGCAGAAGCAATTGCACACAGGACAGGGAACTGTCGTAACATTGTACTTCTGCAAACAACAAATATCTGCATCTACACTGCCCACAATGGGGCACGTGCCAAGCTGGCTTCAGTGGCAAGACAATAACGGCCACCGTTCACCACAAACAGCATCGCCCACTTGTGCTCTTGTTACCAAGCTCCTGTTCCACACTAGCAAAATCCCACTGATGCAGTATCCTGCTCCCTGGTTGTTGGTAGTGCAAGAAAGGAACATACCCAAAAAATTGGCTTATCTCCTGTTATGCTCATGCTTTGACTGGCTCTATGCTACTTAAAGCTGTTTCACTCCATCCGTGTTCCTTACTACGAGCCTAACTTAAGTCAGATTTACATGTAATATTTGGTTTAGTACTTTGCCGTTCACATACTTCCATTCCCCTGGCTGATTCCTGGTGCAACTGCCAAGGACACCCCCCGTGAGCCCCACAGGGGGTTTCTGCAGCTCACCACAGCTTGCTGTAGTGCAAATGTACCCGCAAGGAACACGACTGCACAGAGCAGAAGCACCCGCTTTCCCCAGGGACGGGGAAGTACTTTAGCAGCTGAACACGGAGAGGAGGGAGGTGAGACAAAGGGAACTGAAAGAAATGCTTCAAAAACAAAAACAGAACCAAAAAAACCTC